AGCTACAAGAATATGTAATAAAAAATAGGGGATGCCGTTTAAAAAAATTGAGGTGACTTTCATGTGACTTTCAAATAATTCTTCAAGGTCAAAGCAATGGTACCATCTTATGGTCCCCTCGAAACCAAACAACTTTTGTCTGAAAAATTTTTCTCTCCCGTGCTTGGTTTTCGACATATTCGACTGGATGGATTAAAATGATCCACCCTGTATTTGCATTTATTGATTATTTTAAACTTTCGACCGCTTATAATATATTTAAATCATACATGATAAATATTGAAATCATACATGATTATTTATGTCATAATCAGTATTCAGATTTGAAATAATTTTTCAACGCCATGAAGGTGACAGTCCGATATTATGGTACTGATAAAGGTGACGGTCTGATAAAGTGCTACCGCGCGAAATACATTAAAAATATTTGCGCAATAACCAAATATTTGCGTTAAACCAAAAAAAAATTTTTTTTTTTATCGCAGTTCATAACTCCCCGATTTCACTATCCTATATAATAAAAAAATGTTTTTAATTTATTTTTTTACGTATTTATGCTTATGAATTCTTGATTTAAAATATATTAATGAGATAAAATATATTAATAAGAAAACATGTTGTTTTTACAAAAAAAAAACTTATGTACTAAATCTAGTTATAAATATTCATTTTTAATTTATTTGCATTTATTGATTATTTTAAACTTTCGATCGCTTATAATATATTTAAATCATACATGATAAATATTGAAATCATACATGATTATTTATGTCACAATCAGTATTCAGATTTGAAATAATTTTTCAACACCATGAAGGTGACAGTCCGATATAATGGTACTGATAAAGGTGACGGTCTGATAAAGTGCTACCGCGCGAAATACATTAAAAATATTTGCGCAATAACCAAATATTTGCGTTAAACCAAAAAAAAATTTTTTTTTTTATCGCAGTTCATAACTCCCCGATTTCACTATCCTATATAATAAAAAAATGTTTTTAATTTATTTTTTTACGTATTTATGCTTATGAATTCTTGATTTAAAATATATTAATGAGATAAAATATATTAATAAGAAAACATGTTGTTTTTACAAAAAAAAAACTTATGTACTAAATCTAGTTATAAATATTCATTTTTAATTTATTTGCATTTATTGATTATTTTAAACTTTCGATCGCTTATAATATATTTAAATCATACATGATAAATATTGAAATCATACATGATTATTTATGTCACAATCAGTATTCAGATTTGAAATAATTTTTCAACACCATGAAGGTGACAGTCCGATATAATGGTACTGATAAAGGTGACGGTCTGATAAAGTGCTACCGCGCGAAATACATTAAAAATATTTGCGCAATAACCAAATATTTGCGTTAAACCAAAAAAAAATTTTTTTTTTTATCGCAGTTCATAACTTCCAGATTTCACTATCCTATATAATAAAAAAATGTTTTTTAATTTATTTTTTTACGTATTTATGCTTATGAATTCTTGATTTAAAATATATTAATGAGATAAAATATATTAATAAGATAAAATATATTAATAAGAAAACATGTTGTTTTTACAAAAAAAAAACTTATGTACTAAATCTAGTTATAAATATTCATTTTTAATATATTTGCATTTATTGATTATTTTAAACTTTCCACCGTTTATAATATATTTAAATCATACATGATAAATATTGAAATCATACATGATTATTTATGTCATAATCAGTATTTCCGATTTGAAATAGGTATCTAGAAAGAACGCTTTCCTTGGAGAAATTTAGTATTCCTATTCAAGTGACTTGGATTCGTGTAATTTAAACAACATTATTTTATATCAAATATGGTTTTGTTTGGGTTAATAATTGGTTTGGTTAGACTAGTCTAGGACAGATGAATATGTTTGAATTTAATAAAATTTACTAAATCTAAAGAAACTGTGTCTAACATGATAGAAAGAAATGCACTTTGCAACGCTGAATGCAAATATTGTTTTTTCCTTTCATCAGGAGGATTACAGTCAACGTAGGCGCTTATCGACTCCCAGCGGCAGTCCGAGCCCTCCTAGGCCTACCAGACTCTCAAGATCGACCGGTACTCTCACCAGAGAAGAATCTTTCTGCGAGTCCAGTAACACCCTTACCAGAGACAACCAGGGACAAGAGGCGGAAAGAAAAGGCTGGTTTAAATCTCTCTCGAGGAAGAATAAATCCAATGCTACGGTAGGTATTTCTTCCCACTTATCTACCTCGAAACATTTATTTTACGTGCGCCGGGATCATTATGTGATAGCAAAATCTCCGATAAAGGGATGTGACCCGCTTTGATGATTCGGAATTTTTTATGAGAAATCCGCTGATCCTTCAGTCGTCGTAATTGTAGCTTTATTATCTATATATGTATATCTGAACTTCCTAACATCTATATATTCTGAAGCATACGTTTAATATGTATGGAAAGCAAAGTCCTATTTAGCAAAAATGACAAAAATACAAAGTTTATAAATTGAGATAGAATTAAAAGAGGTTACTCTCTCTACAGGCTTCAGAGTATCAAAATGGGCGTAAAATGAAATATTGAGGTTAAAAATGAAATCAAAACTTCGACTCGTGCGGGACCTATTAATAACAGAATACGAAATATAATATTTGCGTCGATTAGCGTCAGAATTTCGGTCAGAATTTCCATATAGAAATTGGAGGCGCGCGCACGGTTTCCGCTCGATAAACCTTTCCACATTCGCATTTTCCTCCGAAAGCAGCGTACATGCCGCCATACGAATATAGGGGTTGCACGGTCGGTGATCCGATATTGTTGTCGTCACTCGGCAAAACGGCACGAAGCGACCGGAAAAAAAATGGATACACGCGGAAGGAAGGGCTTTTTCTTGGATATTATCCGATAACAAGAGGATTCTTTCTCTTTCTCTCTTTCTCTCGAATCGTGCCATGGTTACTTTGCGCGCTGTGCACCACCAGCTCGCCGGTGCATTCATCAGTCAGAACGCGCGGGTCGCTGCGGAGCCATTAGGGCAGCGCAACCTCCAATTACCAGTTTGATTAAATGCTTAACTAACTCCGCGCTCTGTGGTTTAATTTAATCGCGAGATTAAGTGCCGATCAGGAAGGTTGCCTAGCCCTAACCCGACCATCGTCCGGCGCGCGGGAATAATCTCTGTCAGGTCCCGATTCTACCGATCTCTCCTCTCCTAGGCCGCGGAGAGGAGGAGAGATGCTCTCGCCCGCGTGGATGAGCGAGCATCGCGTATACGCTCGCTCGCGCATCCGTAAAAGCCGCTCGCACTCGCGCGCGCTCGTTCGAGATGATTGCGTGCGCATGAATCTCGCCGTGGACGATGATCTATCGGATGAGTCGGCCCGGAGAGAATCATGACTCATGAAGGCGCCGTGGATGCAACCACGGGGGGAGGCTGCGATTTTTGCGGTCGGCGGGAAGAATACGGCTTTGTGTACGCGCGCGATTTTCTCCCGGCCCGAGGAACGACAACGACGACACGACGTAGTTAGATTCCAAAAAATACAGCGATCTCTCTCTTTCTCTCTCTGCTCGTTTTGAACAATTGACAGAGTTGAGCTTGTGTTATCATTTCGCGTCACGTCGGATTTACATACTTTGCCAAACGTTAGCAACTTATTGCGTCCTTAATCTCTTTAACGTCCGGTAGAAAATACGATTATTTCGGAGCTAATATAAAGAAGTTGCATTAATGTTTTTTCTTTATTTATATTTGCGCTTTCTTGTTTACACCCGCGGATATTTTACTCCTTTTGTCTATAGATAAAATTTTCGATACTCATATAATCATAAATTTAAAGACCTATAATCACGGATTAAGAAGAATCAATTAATCGCGAACATGCAAAATGAAATGCATGTTTTCGAAACCGCTCCTAAAATGAAACTCGAACTGGGTATCATTTAACAATGAAAATTACATAGTACCGCGGAATAATATACTAGTTACGGCAATACGTTTTAATCTATCTCGCATTTATAAAACCGTTCTTGAAATTATAATGTACGATGGATCGATATTTGGAATAAGCGGACATAATTGTTATACGGATGAATAATTTGCGCCGACTACGATATTCGGTCCGTCGAGATCATGAATAATGAAGCGTCGATAACTTTGTAGCCTGTGGATAAAAAGTCGAGAATACTTGAGAGCGAGATCCTGACGACCGGCACCGAGGATGAGGAAGCTTCCTCCACGCCCGAACGAGTTTCCGTGCAAAAGAATCTCCGCTTCTTCGGCGATACGGATCAGGAGTCCGTCTCGTCCAACAGAGACCGCAGGTAAATGCTGGCAAGCCGTGTATGCATGGCCGCGCAACAGTTAAATATTTTACACGGGAGTAATTTCATAATGCTTGTTCTCTGAACGCTATATAGTTGACTTTGTTATTATTGCCACATTTTCTTTTATAATCAGCATCATTCAAAATATAATAACAAGAAATCAGTCTCATGGTATCCCTAAAGTATGGCGTGATCTTCCAGTACTTCATATGTGTGTGGTTAGTCCATAACCGTATAATATTTGTAAATTATAATTTTTTTTTCATTCCTGCTGCGAGAAGAGTTGGAATATATAACGATCGAAAACCGTACAAATTATTTATATTATTATAAATTATTTGTATTTATTATAAATTCGCTAGATTTCAAAGGAGAAGTGACACAACAGAACAAGATAGAAATTACATCCGTCCTCTACGATTGATCACATCACGAAATTATAAAAGCTTTATTTTTTACTTCGTCTTTTCGTTTTTCTTCCTTTTTTTTTAAATTGAATAATGAACTGTTTTGATCAAGATTATTTTTCAAGTAGAATACAATCAAATACAATAAAAAAAGAATTAATTAAAGAGAAGCTGTATGCATAAAAAAATACAATTTCCATGTTACTGACATTGATAACTTTTTTCAGGAACAAAACTGTGGACAGTCATGCTTGTTCAAGACGTGATGTCACGAATTCGACTCGCCACAATTTGGGTATCATGTCAGCACCGAGGAAACCTCCGAGACTTGCCGAAAGTGCATTGTCTTCGGGTGAGAGTACAACGGGTGACAGCAGTCAACAAAGTCAGAATTCGCAGCGATCACAGAGATCTGTTGTATATCTTCACGCTGCCACAGGTATAAAGGCTATGTTGGCAATTTTTTATTAATGTTTTTTTCTATCGCGGACACTTCAATATCATACACGGAAAAAACAATGGTTGTGTCAACCAGAAAAATAGTAAACTATGGCATAGATTTTCTTTCTGACTTCAAGAATCAGTTCTTGGTTGCGCTGACCTATCGATTCGTTGTCTCAAAAATGCATCTTTTCTAGACAACTAATCGTAGTCTTAATGTATGATGTCACACAAATTAACGTAACGTAAAAAATTAGTTACTGAAACCAGAAATAAAAGTTATGCCATGTTTTACTATCTTTTGGCTGATGAAGCTATTCCTTCTTTCTTCTGTAGATGTCGCAATGTACAAGACATACAGGATATCTGACGCAAGACACGCAATACTGAAGGTAGAACACGTCTACTTGAACATAAAATCCCTTGGCAGTTTGTAAACAACCACACGAAATTCGAGATATCAATGATAAAACATTGACGAACCGGAGCGCGCGATGGGACGGGCTTTATAAGCGCATGATCCTACCAATAATTACGAAAGTGCGGCCGCCTCTTAGCGGACGTCGGCTGACAGCTAAAGGCGGAGTAACGATGCTAGTGGCGCATAGGCAATTCGCCTTTACAGAGCTCGGCCCATTGCATACTCTGGTTCGCTAATCTTCTTTGTTTAATATTTCAAAATTTTACGCGGTTGCTTGCAAACTGCCAGGGGTTTTCGTGTTCAAGTGGACGTACTCTACTTTCACATGTGGTATTGAGTGTCTTGCGTCCGACATCCTGTATATACATCTAAACTCTAGTTCCTTTATAGCGAAAATATCTATTAATATTAATATTTATTAATATATATAATTAATACTTATCTAACAGAAAGACTTCTGGTGTAAAGAAGCTGGAGAATAGACGCGTAAGCGAAATAAATCTAGTGAATATCATCTGCGATATACCGAGCGTACATATGTAACTACAATTGAATTTAATTAATTCTTTTATACTAGCTTTTACTTGCAGTCAAACAAGTCAGCTAAATATGGATTAATTTAGGTTAGTTTACTTGAATTAAAAAATGCGATGAGACAGGCTTTATAAGCGCAAGACCGAAAATGCGACCGCCTCTTAGTGGACGTCGGTTGACAGCTAAAGGCGGAGTAACGATGCTAGTGGCGCATAGGCAATTCGCCTTTACAGAGCTCGGCCCATTGCATACTCTGGTTCGCTAATCTTCTTTGATTAATATTTCAAAATTTTACGCGGTTGCTTGCAAACTGCCAGGGGTTTTCGTGTTCAAGTGGACGTACTCTACTTTCACATGTGGTATTGAATGTCTTGCGTCCGACATCCTGTATATACATCTAAACTCTAGTTCCTTTATAGCGAAAATATCTATTAATATTAATATTTATTAATATATATAATTAATACTTATCTAACAGAAAGACTTCTGGTGTAAAGAAGCTGGAGAATAGACGCGTAAGCGAAATAAATCTAGTGAATATCATCTGCGATATACCGAGCGTACATATGTAACTACAATTGAATTTAATTAATTCTTTTATACTAGCTTTTACTTGCAGTCAAACAAGTCAGCTAAATATGGATTAATTTAGGTTAGTTTACTTGAATTAAAAAATGCGATGAAACAGGCTTTATAAGCGCAAGACCGAAAATGCGACCGCCTCTTAGTGGACGTCGGTTGACAGCTAAAGGCGGAGTAACGATGCTAGTGGCGCATAGGCAATTCGCCTTTACAGAGCTCGGCCCATTGCATACTCTGGTTCGCTAATCTTCTTTGATTAATATTTCAAAATTTTACGCGGTTGCTTGCAAACTGCCAGGGGTTTTCGTGTTCAAGTGGACGTACTCTACTTTCACATGTGGTATTGAGTGTCTTGCGTCCGACATCCTGTATATACATCTAAACTCTAGTTCCTTTATAGCGAAAATATCTATTAATATTAATATTTATTAATATATATAATTAATACTTATCTAACAGAAAGACTTCTGGTGTAAAGAAGCTGGAGAATAGACGCGTAAGCGAAATAAATCTAGTGAATATCATCTGCGATATACCGAGCGTACATATGTAACTACAATTGAATTTAATTAATTCTTTTATACTAGCTTTTACTTGCAGTCAAACAAGTCAGCTAAATATGGATTAATTTAGGTTAGTTTACTTGAATTAAAAAATGCGATGAGACAGGCTTTATAAGCGCAAGACCGAAAATGCGACCGCCTCTTAGTGGACGTCGGTTGACAGCTAAAGGCGGAGTAACGATGCTAGTGGCGCATAGGCAATTCGCCTTTACAGAGCTCGGCCCATTGCATACTCTGGTTCGCTAATCTTCTTTGATTAATATTTCAAAATTTTACGCGGTTGCTTGCAAACTGCCAGGGGTTTTCGTGTTCAAGTGGACGTACTCTACTTTCACATGTGGTATTGAGTGTCTTGCGTCCGACATCCTGTATATACATCTAAACTCTAGTTCCTTTATAGCGAAAATATCTATTAATATTAATATTTATTAATATATATAATTAATACTTATCTAACAGAAAGACTTCTGGTGTAAAGAAGCTGGAGAATAGACGCGTAAGCGAAATAAATCTAGTGAATATCATCTGCGATATACCGAGCGTACATATGTAACTACAATTGAATTTAATTAATTCTTTTATACTAGCTTTTACTTGCAGTCAAACAAGTCAGCTAAATATGGATTAATTTAGGTTAGTTTACTTGAATTAAAAAATGTGATGAGACAGGCTTTATAAGCGCAAGACCGAAAATGCGACCGCCTCTTAGTGGACGTTGGTTGACAGCTAAAGGCGGAGTAACGATGGTGCAAAGGCAATTTGCGCTCACAGAGCTCGGCCCATCGCGTGCTCTGGTTCGCTAATATTCTTCTTTTAATATTTATAAATTTTACGCGATTGTTTGCAAACTGCCAGGGACAATTTCATGCGGAGCACGGACCGCAAAGTGTTAAGATGTTTTAAGATGCAAAGTTCATCTTATATATACAATGTCTGATCAGAGATTAAAATATTATTGTAACTAATAATAAATATAGTTTACGAGGTCGGGTATTATTCATCGAATATTTAAAGTTTTACGACACACCCGTCACATTTGCGTCATTGGAGAGGCAATGCAAAAAGAAGTCCGTATCTACTGAGCCAGTTGTTTAGAGTTATTTAACTAACGTGCTGAATAACGCTCAACGCGCGGTGAAAGTACGGAAAATGTTGTCAAGCGTAACCGCACTCTAATTGCGATATCTGCATTCCAGTTGGAGAAATACCAGGTCCGAACGAGAGACGCAGGGCGGCAAGTCGCGAGGAATTAAATCGACCGTTACAATCACATACGAGAACGGTGTCGAGGAGCGTGAGCGTCCTTGCGCCGTGGAAGCCACGACACTACAGAGAACCATTCGAAATCAACTACGATCAACAACAACAGCACGCGAAGCCGATTGCGACCATGAGACGCAGACAACGGAGTCGCGAGACACTCAGTCGCCGAGGAAAAGAGGCTCGACGTAGTAAAGATAATCTCTCGAAAACAAGTAAACGCTCGAACTAAAGGTGAACATGCATTATTCCGAAAGAAACAAGTTAAAACTTAAGAAGTAAGGCAATTTTTTGGAAAGTCATAATATCGAAATTATACAAAGACAAATATAGTGAAGATAACTTTTCTCAATATGATTTTAATGAAATATTGAAAATATTGAAAATGTCTCGTGTACAGCCAAGTACATTCTGTATACATTCGAATACATCAAGATTTAATAAAAAAATTTAAAGGGTTTGATAGAACTAGGTCAATACAGTTTTAATAAAATACTGAAAATGTCTGTGACTGCACAGCCAAGTACATTCTATATTCATTTAAGGGATTAGACCACCTTAAAATTTTCAAAAAATCGATGTTTTTTTTTGTATTTTCTGAAAATGTAGAGATTTAAGAACACTTTTTTAAAGGTAATGTTCCCAGCTTTGTTGAAAGTATTTATAGTGGCGCTGCTTTACTGGCGCTGCAGTCATAGCCCCGCAAAATTATGAATGCTTTTATGCAGACAAAAATGATAAAATAAAATATATTACTAAAGTTAAATAGAAAAGGATAAAAGCAGGCAGAGTGAAAGAAAAAAAGATAGTGAGGAGGAGAGAGAAGCAGAAGGAGATAAATTGGATGAATAAAGAGAAGTTCTAAGAAGTGAAGATGCAAAATGATAAAATATAAAAAGACAGGATGCCGCAAAATAAAATTCGGAGGTACACGTTTATTAGCTTAACATCTCCCTGGAGCTCTACTATCTATTATTGAGGTATTTATCATTGTTTTTTCCTCAGCCTTGGTTTGGTTACTCTATTTTAATACGTTTTTAGATAATTACACCACTAGCAACTTAGTACGTGCGATGGAGTGACCAATCTTACAACAAGTTATTTACTGACTAATGCCTTCGGTCTTCCAGGGAGAGATTTCTTTGTCTTAATGACTATTTGTATCTGTTTGCGTTCGTGCTTCCGATTTCCATAAGCAAAATTTGTAGCGACAACTTTTGTAACAACAACCTTTGTTATACCGATTATTTGCGACCTTACGTTTGTGACATTTAAATATAATTTGTTTTTTATTTGTAATCACTGAAGATGGTCTGTGAAATTAGACCGAAACGCGTTTGATTGTTTAATGATTAATAAATTTCTTCTCATTGGAGATTGAGTCACTATTTTTAATA